TGGAGGAGACGCAGTGGTCAGTGTGTACAGGCTCGACCCCGGCCGACGTGTAAACGTGGCCAGGTGTCGGCCTGTCCGAGCGTCCGTGCAGTGGGTCACCCGCTGACTCGCAGGAGTGAACTGGTGAACCCCCGCATCCTGTAGGTCAGCACCACTCACCAAGTTTGTAGAGAACGAGGGGAGGTAAAGACCAGACAGGGTGCCAGAGGGGGCCGCCGGACACGGGAGGACAGTGGAGAAGTGAGCAAGGACAGGACCCCCAGAGGGGTCTGCCAGGGAGACCGCAACCGGCCGACTGAGCGGCGTAAGCGTGGTGCGGTCTCGAAAGAAGGAGCGGGAAGCACCCGAGTCAAGAGTGAAGGTGTGTAAGGCCTGAGACGACGTGGTACCTGAGAGAGCAGACTCACCAGCACCTGGGGCAGCAGACGCACTAGCACCTAGAGCAGCAGCCTCACCAGCACCTAGAGCAGCAGCCTCAATGCCCGGGTCAGGCGGAACACACAGGTAACAGTCACCCTCATCACTAGTAGGCAATGCATACATGGCAGTGAGGATAGCATCATAGTCAAGAGTATAGATATCTACCCGCAGCCGAAGCAGCTCCACCCAGTCGGGGAGCTCAGCCGCGTCGCCAAACTCCGTACGCCAGGCGTCGCTCAGACGGGCGAAGCAGCGGGACTCTGCGTGACCCAACGTCCCGCAAGGCTGACCAGTCCGAGCACCAGTGCGAATGACGTACGGACAGCGAGCAGTACCCCGTGACCCGTCACGCTGAGCGTACCACTCACGAAGCTGCTGTGGCGAAAGGACTGCTCGCGGACGACGCTGAAGCTGCACCTGGCCACTACAAGCAGCTGCCGAACTACTCACTCCAGGACGACTCCCACTACGGCCACCCCGACAACCCCAACTAGCGTACCACTCACGAAGCTGTTGGGGGGTGAGGGACTCACGCGGGCGACGCTGCAGCTGCACCTGGCCACTAGAAGCAGCTGTGGAACTACTCACTCCAGGACGACTCCCACTACGGCCACCCCGACAACCCCAACTAGCGTACCACGCACGAAGCTGTTGGGGGGTGAGGGACTCACGCGGGCGACGCTGGAGCTGCATCTGGCCACGCCAGGAGCAGCAGTAGCAGTAGAAAGAGCAGCAGCAGTAAGAGCAGCAGTAACAGCAGTACGGGCAGGGCAGTGCTCACCAGTGGCGAGAAGGGCAGGTGTACGACGGCGGCAACGGCGAGGCCGCTACCACTGTAGAGCGAGAGCTCCGCGGCAGCTGCAGGGGTGGCTGCTCCAGGGGCGGCAGTTGTAGGGGCAACTGCTCCAGAGGCGGCTGCTCCAGGGGCGGCTGCTGCAGTGGCGGCTGCTCCGGGGGCGGCTGCTGCAGTGGCGGCTGCTCCGGGGGCGGCTGCTCCAGGGGCGGCTGCTGCAGTGGCGGCTGCTCCAGGGGCGGCTGCTGCAGTGGCGGCTGTTCCAGGGGCGGCTCGGCTGCTGGGCGACTCGGCGGCTCAGCTGCTGGGCGGCTCGGCGGCTCGGCTGCTCGCTAGGGGCGGCGACGGGGCCGGGTAGGGGCAGCGACGGGGCCGCTAGGGGCGGGGAGCGGCGACGGGGCCGCTAGGGGCGGCGACGGGGCCGCGTAGGGGCGGCTACGAGGCCGCGTAGGGGCGGCGACGGGGCCGCGTAGGGAGGGAAGCGGCGACGGGGCCGCTAGGGGCGGCGACGGGGCCGCGTAGGGGCGGCTACGAGGCCGCGTAGGGGCGGCGACGGGGCCGTGTAGGGAGGGAGGCGGCGACGGGGCCGCTAGGGGCGGCGACGGGGCCGCGTAGGGGCGGCGACAGGGCCGCGTAGGGAGGGAGGAGGCGACGGGGCCGTTAGGGGCGGCGACGGGGCCGCGTAGGGGCGGCGACGGGGCCGCGTAGGGGCGGCGACGGGGCCGCGTAGGGAGGGGAGCGGCGACGGGGCCGCTAGGGGCGGCGATGGGGCCGCGTAAGGGCGGCGACGGGGCCGCGTAGGGGCGGCTACGGGGCCGCGTAGGGAGGGGAGCGGCGACGGGGCCGCTAGGGGCGGCGACGGGGCCGCTAGGGGCGGCAACGGGGCCGCGTAGGGGCGGCGAGGGGGCCGCGTAGGGGCGGCGACGGGGCCGCGTAGGGAGGGGAGCGGCTACGGGGCCGCTAGGGGCGGCGACGGGGCCGCGTAGGGGCGGCGACGGGGCCGCTAGGGGCGGCGACGGGGCCGCGTAGGGGCGGCAACGGGGCCGCGTAGGGAGGGAGGCAGCAACGGGGCCGCTAAGGGCGGCGACAGGGCCGCTAGGGGCGGCTACGGGGCCGCGTAGGGGCGGCAATGGGGCCGCTAGGGGCCGCAAGGGGCCTGGAAGGGCGGCAACGGGGCCGCTAGGGGCGGCGACGGGGCCGCTAAGGGTGGCGCGAGGGGCCGTGAGAGGGGCCTCTAAGAGAGCTCGACAGAAGGGCGGCCCACAAGGCGCGCCTCGGGCAGGAGCGACTGTCGCTCCGGTCAGAAAAAAAAGGTTTCAGTGGTGGGCCCAAGGAAGCGTTCCCACTAGGGAACCTGCTCTATACCATGTGAAGAAATGAGGAATGGATTGACTAAGGGAAAGTTGGGTACAAAAGCAAACCCTAGAAAACTGTACCCCATATGTGCTACCCCACTATAGCCTACAGTAGCTATGTCATATAAATCTGACAGTCCTTCGCCCGTGCTTCGGTCCGTACCACACAAAACTACTGTCCGAAACGCGATATTAGTACCATCCGACATAAAATGTACGGACTTTAGCAAAAGATAAAACGGTTACACGCCCTACTTCCAGTATGAAGCCATACGCATTTAGGGACGAGGTTGGACGAGAACTTGTAACATTGTGGGTAGACATAAATCCAGCACAGCCTCGCAAGTTCGTGCCCCAGACCAATCGATAGGCCGGATCCAAGTAGGGGTTTTTTTTATTGGCAAATAAAAAAATGCATGCGAAAAAAAAACGATATCTCAAAGTTTATGTGAAAACAGACCGATTGGTTGGCGAGAGAATTATTTTACTGATTCAGCAAAAAAAAAAAACATTTACAACAACAACCCAACTGAGAGAGGCTCAGGCATAATCTGACGGGGCCTGGATTTGGATGGGTTTGCTGAAAAAATCCCATCTTGAAAGGTAATTTGGGTAATTCACCCTTTTCTGAAGGTGGCCCTGGTCATACAAACAACCATTTGATAGTTGTGAGATTCACTTTGCCGAACCTTCTGAGGTACTGTAGTATTGACTGACCGTGTTCTGTTTAGAGTAGCAACAGTTCTGGGTTTAGAGTTGCCAACGTACTCTGAGAGGTTGTGCACGGGTAATGTGCCAGATAAGGCTTACTATACATACGCCTGGATGTTCCGTCCGACCGAACCCCTGCCTCTCGGTGGGAATGTTGGCGAACTGCCTTGAAATCACGGCTCCATTCACTCTCAATACACCTGTGAAAGTGTCGTGTACACTCTCCTTCAGACCTTCGGCACTTTCAGCATGTGATCGACTTCATGTTTTGTCGTTATTTTAAATTATAAACACTCGCCGAACAGTGGCGAAAGCGTGCTTCCACCTGTCCCACCGCAGTTGTTGCCAGAATCTTGGGGAAACCTCCTGTCTGGCTGGGGCCAACATCATAGGCATGCAAAATAGTCTGGTAACCCTATGCAATTGTATGCAAAACCGTCGATACCCCAGTCCTGCTGCGCAAATTTGTCTGGTACCGCCACTCGAAAACACTGTGTAACAGCTGACGTAGCACAAAAAGGAAGAAATCGATTGCGTTTTCGATTTATTTTCTTAGTGGTTCTTACCGCGCTCTGTTTGGCGCCTAACAACGATTTTTGCGGGCAACAATTTTCCGCTAAATGTGCACGATACATTTAGCGGGAAATTCTGTTGGAATGAAAGTATACGACGACGACGCTACCGGGAACTGTTAGGGCAGGGCCGGAAAACATAAAACCCATAGGAACCTGGACGCATTTTCGGGAGGGATCAACCCTAAACACGGGAAAGGGCATTGTTTTTAGGGTTGATGCCTCCCCGAGTCGCATCCCTTTCCGATTGGGTTTTATTTTTTCCTTGGGTCAGGTAGTGAACAGTGTTGCTAATCTGGCGAAAACAGTTGCCCGAAGAAATCATTTTGTAGCGCAAAGCCAAGCGCGGACGAAATCAGTGGTCAAGTAAAATAGAATCGCGGTATTAAGTAAATACGTAATTACCTCCAAAATGAGGTATCGACGGTTTTGCATACAATTGCATAGGGTTACCAGACTATTTTGCATGCCTATGATGTTGGCCCGTCTGGCTGGGATGGGAGGAGCCTCCACTCCACCCCACAGCGTCCCCGTGACGACGTGATCTGTCCGCCAACACTGGCGCGGAGGGGAAGCTAGCTCGCGGAGACACAAGCGCGAGCACCACGATTGTCCCGCCCATCGGTCGGTACATGCGCCGTCGCACATTGCTGCTCATCCTGCTTCCATCCTACTGTACTGTACCTTCCCTCCCCTCTCATCGACCGCTTTCCTGATCACCCCGCGTTTGAGATCGCATTGCTTGGAGCCAATTGCGATGCTACCCTTCGTTTTGACCCACTCCACTCACCTCCTCCCCCTGTCAGCTGCCTGCTCGCTCTGCCTAGAGTCCACCACACGCACCTGCTGCTGCAAGCACCGATCACGGAGGTAGTGGGAAGCAGTGTTTGCGCATCACCCGCCACTGTCCCCTCACGCACGTGCCTCCATCCCGCCTCGCCTCCAAATCAAACGATCGCCACCTCGCGCGTTGCCCGCGGACGGCGGGACGAGCGCGTCGAGTGCTTCGCAGCTACCTCGCCGTTGACTTGGACTCACGTGACGTTCAGTTCTCGCCGGCCAGCGGTGCTAGGAAATCACCGTGCCAGCTCGATCGCGACATCTCCGCAGTTTAAACTGCATCGCTGAACCCAAGCGGCACAGGGCGAGCTGGATCGCATACGAGGGCGGCCAGGCTCGCCAGCACTGTGCGCGGGTGGAGGGCGCCTCGCCGCCATGTACCGCCCCACCCACCACGCCTCCCGCACGGATCGCCTTTCTCCGCCTGCTGATCTGTCGCCCTTCGCGGAAGACTCGGAACAGCAGCTCCTTGGCGGCCCATCGGGCGGATCAGGTGGATGCGGACCGCCAGCCCACGGGGGCACGGCCAAGGAGCCCGCATTGCCTCGATGCACCGCTGTCTTTGGTGAATCGGGCCTCGTGCCGCCTGCGCCGCCCACGGCCGCCGCGTTCTCGTTGGACGACTCGGATCTCGCCAGCGTCGTCAGCGAGAGCTGGACCAAATGCGCAGCGTCGCGCCGCCTCGCCTCCGTGGCCCCTTCTGCACTGCCCGCGCAAACCGTGCCGCATTCTGTAGGGAACGCGTCGTCCGCGCCCTCGGCCACTGCGCCGCCGGGCCTGCCCGGATCGCTTTCGTCCGGCAGCCTTTGCGGCCGCTTCGCAGCGTGGGGGTGCGCCGATCCACTCTTCGCGTTCGAGCGCGGCGCGCTGCTGGTGGGGGAGAGCGGGATATCGCACGCTGCAGAAACTTCGTTTCGCGCGCGTTTTCCTCGCGCCCATCCGTCCGCGCAAGCGTCGGCGGGATATGGTATGGCGCGCGGAAGTAGCGCGAGCAGCATCAGCACGAGCTGCCAGCACTCGGCGCTCCACCAGCGGGCGATCTCGCCGTCCGCCACGGCGGGGCACGTCGCGGACTGCTTAGAGCGCACGGCGGACAGCGTGGGCGCGCGCCAAGGGCAAGGGGGAACGGCGGAAGGGCGTGACGGAAGAGTTGTCGCAGGTGGCGGAAGCAGCAGCGGGGGGAAGAGGCGGTGGGGCGGCCCCTCATCGAGCTCTGTGCTCATCGGCGCTAGCTCCGTGCACCGCGCGAACAACCGTCCCGCCTCCGCCGTACACGCGGTGGCGTCAGTGGCGGCGGGGTGGGAGGAAGCGATGGGAGAGGCGGATGAGGAAGGCATGGGGGAGGCGATGGGATGCTGGGCGGAAGGGATGGGAGAAGCGGAGCGGGCGGAGGGCGCGCGCGAGGAGGACATGGAGGAGGGCTTCGAGCTGTCGGAGTACCTCAGCCTGCCCGACGACCTCGCGTGGTGCGCGTGGCCCGCCTGCGACCAAGTCGCCGTCTCCCGCGCCGTCAACCCCGCCGGCATGTCCGCCGGGCTAGGAGACGTCGCTGACGGCGCCGTCGAGGGCGGCGAGCCGCAGCCGAACAGCTTCTGTCGCGCGCACCAGGCGCTGACGTCGGATGCGCGCGTGCGCGGCGGGTGTCTCATGTCGCTGCTAGCGCGCATGGACGGCGACGGGGCGCACGCCCACCAGCCGCCCGCCTCCGGCCAATTCTCCGCTCCCCGTTCCGCGCATTCTCCCGCGCCCTTTGCCGCGCCCATCGTCACTGCCGAGTCATCGCCGCGCCAGCGGCTTCAGCAGCTTTCACCGCCGCCCTTCGCCCGCGCGGATGCGGCTTGCGGGGACGAGGCGGCGGCGCTGCTGCAGCGAGCGGACGTGGTGGCGGGACTGGGTGCGGGAACGGCGCCAGTGGCAGCGGAAAGGAGCGTCGCTGGGGCTGAGGCGCGCGGATGCCTGCAGGGGGCGGTGGATGGCGCGAGTGGCGAGGGGGCGGCGGCGGAGGGCTTGTTCTGGGCGGCACTGCCAGACAGTGAGTGCGGGAAGGAGGGCGGGGTCTGTGATCGATATCGCTGCCCCAGGGTGGCCGCGATGGGGGTGCGGCGCGTACCCAGTGTTGCAGTGGGTGTGTGGGTTGTGCTTTCATGCCCTACATTCATCCCCCATCTCCCCTTCCCCTCTTTGCCCCCCATCGACTCCCATCGATTCCCCCTCGCCCCTTCCCCCCTCCGCAGCGTGGTTCCGCGGGTTGGATGTGTGGGAGGACGCACAGCCGGCGCAGCAGGGCGGCAGGGAGGGAGCCGAGGGACCTGCAGGGGAGGAGGGGCAGGGCGCGCGTGCTTGCTGGGATGGGGAGTTGGGGAATGGAGAGGGGGACGGTGGAGTGACGGGCGCGAAGGGGCGAGCCCGAGGGCGGGGAGTAATGGCGGAGGCGTGGAGTGGGGAGTGCGGGGCAATGGATTTGCAGGCAGGAGCGGAGTGGGCGGATGTAGGGGCAGCAGGGGCGGTTGGGAGCGGTGGTTCGAGTGAGGAGCACATGCAGTGGCAGGTGGAGGCGCATGAGGGCGGGCAGGGGCTGCATGCTGCACGCCTGCGCGGTCAAGGGGCAGCAGAGTCGCCCCGCGCAGCACCACGTGCAGCGGCGGCACATGCAGCAGTTGGGGATGGAGAAAGAAAACAACTGCCTGCAATGCCTGCTGCTGCACTTCCCGCTGCGTTCCCGCTCGCTGCTTCTCCTCCATCGGCCGCTGCTGCCCCCCTCCCCGCCTCGCCTGCTGCCGCGGGTGGTGGTGCGGGCGGGCCAAGCAGCGCTGCTCTGCGCGGTGCGGAGAGGCGTGAGAGGCGGCAGCGCAGCAGCAGAGCGGCGGCAGCAGCAGCAGCAGCAGCAGCTGGGGCAGGCGCGGGAGGCAAGACGGGTGCAGGTGCGGCACGGCAAGTGTCTGGCGCGGCCACTGTGGGGGCACATGCAGGAGGGGGGGCGGACGGCAGTGGGGCAGTGGCCGGGGGCACAAGGGCGGATGCAGGTGCAGCAGGAGTTGGTGGTGGGGCAGGCGGGGCCAGGTTCGTGCCGTATCACTTGTGGCATCAACCTGCCGCTCCCCTCATGCCCCCCATGCTCTTCGTGCAGCCGCCCTTCCCGCCTCCGCACATGCCCTTCCCGCAAGCAGGTGCGGCATCAGCAGTGATGGGTGGGAGCGTGGCAGGGGCCATGCACCCTCTCCATCACAGCGGCAACAGCGTGGCACTTGTACATGGGGCTGCCAGCCCCAGGATGTTCTCCGCACTCCCTGCTGCTCTTGCCACTCCGCCCTCTGCGCCCGCCACCACCGCCCCTGCTGCTGCTGCGCCATCCGCAGCTCCTACTGCCCTTACCCCACCACCCGTCTGCTCTGCCCACGCACCACCCGTTCTCGGGCCCGACCCCTCGCACATGCACCATCTCCTCTTCCCACCGTCGCCTGCGCTGTACCCCGCGCCCCCCTCGCTGCACCCCACGTGTGCAGCGCGGTCCGCAGCGGCCATGATGATGGCGGCCGCCACTGCCACGGCCATGGCGCGGCGCCGCCACCTGCTGGGGCTGGCGGGCGAGCCGGTCATGAAGAGGAAGCGCGGGCGCCAGAAAAAGCCGCCGCCTCGCAATGGACCGTGCGGGGCCACCACCAACCTGAGGCGCATTGTGCCCAGAGCGGAGGGGGAGGAGGCGCGCGATGAGGGGGGGGCAGGGGCAGATGCTGGTGAAGTAGGGGGGGGTGCAGGGGGCAGCAGGGGCAAGGCTGCAGGTGGAAGTGGGTCAGGTGGGGGCTCAAGCGTGGTGGCAGGAGGGGCAGCTGCGCAGGGACCAGCAGTCAGTGGTGGTAGTGGTGGAGGGGGGAGGATAAGAGCAGACAAGGTGGGGCGTGTGCTGTCAGCGGCATTTGGAGGGGGGGTGGGGTGTGCGCCTGTGGTAGGGCCCGTGTTCATGCCTCGGGCTTATGTGCCCTTCCCTCTCACCTTCCATGCCATGCCACAGGCCATGCATAGAGAGGCGATCCCCTCGCCCTTCAACCACCTTGCTGTGCCTACTGCCACCGCTGCCGCCACTGGTGCTGCCAGCGATGACGCTGCTGCTGCACTGGTTGCTGCGGTCGCTAATGCTGCATCCCCTTGTGCTACAGCAGCAGCTGCTGCGGCTTCTGTGCACACAGTTAGCTCTCTTGCTTCCCCTCCTGTGCATGCTGCTCCTCATGACAGCATCGGCAGTGGCGCGGCGTTAGCAGCACCAGGCAGCAATGGTGCGGGTGGGGTTGACCGTATGGCTGCTGCACCTGCACCAGGTGCACCCAACTGTGCTCCACAACCTGCGCTCTCATCTGCTGGGCCCCCTTTTTCTATGACTCCGCCTCCCGGACCTTTTATGCCTGGCTTTCCTGCCGCAGCCACTGCAGCGTCAGTCTCTGCAGAGGACAGTGAAGGTCGAGTGCATGGGGCAAGGCTGGTTTCGAGAATTTTGGAGATGAGAGGAGTGGATGCAGAGGATTGTGTTGCTGGCATGCATCACCGGAAGCTTGCTAAGGTGGAACAATGATCCACTCCTTGTTAATGTATTCGTAACTGTAACAATTCTTTTGGATGTACCATGGAAAGAATACTAGAAGCTTGCATCATGTTCTGTAGCGTTACGTTTGTAATTGAGCTCGCGAGCGAATGCACGGTATCGAGGCAAGAATCAAAATACCGTATGAGCGAAGGCAAGGCAGCGAAACAATGGCACTGGTGCCCAGGGCCTCAGATTCGTTTTCGCTTAGGCTGAATCGTCAGTCTTAGAAGGGGTGCTAATGGCTGATATCAGTGTTACGTACCTAAAAAATAAAATAAAAAAACCTGAGTTTTCAGTGTTTCCTTTGAAAAAAAAGCAGACCGATCAACGTCACCTTTTATAAGTTTATCATTGATAGAAGAACGTTACAGGAAATACTCAAGCCATATCCTCGTCATCATCATCCTCACTATCACTAGATAAGTCTAGAGCATCTACAGGCTTGTCGTCATCTACATCCATTGCTGTTGCTTTCCCCTTCTTGCTGGTTTCACCTGGGGTGGAAATTGGGGCGTTAGAAAATGGCTTCCTCTTCTTGTAGCTTCTCCAGATGTCGACCACCTCGTCGTCAGGCCCTCAGATTCGTTTTTGGCCTGTCTGATTCGTCAGACTAGTACACTATTTTAGTCTGAAAATCTCAGAGTTGGTATAAAAAAAAGGCCGAAATTTCAGAGTGTCCTAAAAAAAAAGTCTGATCATTCAAAAACAATTTATTCAATGTTTCACCGGAATGTAATCAATGTTTCATTCATCTGCTACCGAAACACGCAACACTAAGGGGATTTCTGATAAAACATGCTCTGACAGGGCGAATATATGTGTCAGGGCGAATCTTGTGGTGCGAAAGGGCGAATATGCAATGTCAGGGCGAGTTTACTGTGATTGGGCGAAAATTGTTGTTCTCTGACAGCGCAAATCTGTTGTGTCAGGGCGATTTTGCTATGATTGGCCGAAAATCTTGTGCTTTAAGGCTCGGATTTGCTGTGTCAAGGCGATTTTGCGTTGACATTGCGAATCTGTTGTGACCCGTAAGTCCGAATCACCAGTCAAGGACACGTTTGTACTCTGAATGATCAGAGTACACTCTAAAAAAACTCTGAACTCTCAGAGTTAGCCTTAAAAAAAGTCTGAAAATTACAGAGTTTGGGCCCAAAAAAGTCTGATTTTATCAGAGTACACTGGAAAAAAAATCTGAAATATCAGAGTATTTTGTGCAAATCAGAGAAAAAAGTCTGACTTCGTAGGGCCTGCTCGTCGTACACCGGCTCGTACTGCATCAGTGACAGGTGTTGGAGTATGAAGGGAATTAAGTTAGCATTCCCATAGGTGCAGCTGTATCGCACCCATCACTATCGAAGCAGCGCCTGCAGCAGTATCGGATCAGCCTGTAACATGGGCAGGAAGCAGGGCTCTTGCTAGGATTTAAGCCCGTCTGAAAATATAAAAAATAATTTCGTTTCGTCTGACGTTCAGACGAGGGAAAAATAATAGTCTGATTTTTCAGACAAAGCCGTGTCTGATTTTTCAGATAAATCAAATATTGTTGTCTGATGTTCGAAATTGAAGTATTGTATCGTTTTTCTTCTATCGGAGCGATACGACCTGATCAGGAGGGGAGGGAGAGGGGGGGAGGTGTTGGCCTGCGAGAGGAGGGAGGGGGGAAGGGGGCAGGCGGGTGTTGGGCTGCGAGACTCTCGAGGAAGTTGGGCTGAAAGAGGGACTGGGTGGTTGGGGTGTTGGGCTGCGCTGCGAGAGGTACAAGGGGGTTTTGGGGCTGGGAGGGGCTCGAGTCGAGCTTCAAGTAATTGCGACACGGGGGGGACTTCAGGGGAATCTGGGCTCGGACTGGGTGGTTGGGTAGTGAGGAGCGAGGGACTTGGGGTGTGGGGATGTTTGAAGGAGGGGAGGGGGGGGGGGAGAGAAAGGGGGGGGGGGGGGTGGGGGGGAGGGGGCTACTCTCGATACTTTTGGTGTCAGACGAAACTTTACGCGCTATCTGTTTCCTCAGACGAAATATAACGCTGAGTCTGTTTTTACAGACGAATTAAAATTTATGGTCCCACCGGACAGCCCACTCACGAAGCTGCTGAGGTGAGAGAGTCTCCGGCCGACGCTGCTGCCGCTGTTGTCCACCCCCTGAACCTCCGCGTCTACCAGTGGTACTACCAGCAGGAGTAGACTCACAGGGACCTCCAGTAGTAGCACCCCAGACTCCGCCACCGGGGCTGCCCCACCGGACAGCCCTCTTGCAAAGCTGTTGCCGACGAGTACCAGGACCGCCAGCACTAGCACCTCCAGCTCTAGCATGGCTAGCTCCGCCACCGGGGCTGCCCCACCAGATAGCCCACTCGCGAAGCTGCTGCGGCGAGAGAGACTCCTGCACACTCGGCTGCCGCTGACGTAGGACAGTGGTAGTGGCCATGGCAGGCAATGGCAGCTAGTAGCAGCAGCTGCGCAGCAGCAGTAGCACAGGCGGCAGTAGCAGCGTAGCAGCACTCGGGGCAAGGCGGCGCTAGTGCGGGATAGGGCAGCGCGGGGCAGCGCACGCAGGTGGCAGCAGCACCTAGGGCGGCAGCACCTAGGGGGACAGCACCTAGGGCAGCAGCAGGCGGCAGCACCTAGGGCGGCAGCAGCAGGGGGTAGCACCTAGGGCGGCAGCACCTAGGGCGGAAGCAGCAGGCGGCAGCACCTAGGGCAGCAGCAGGCGGTAGCTTCTAGGGCAGCAGCACCTAGGGCGGCAGCAGCAGGCGGCACTTGCGCGCGCGCAGGGCAGGCGCGGGTCGTTGGGCAGCAGGGCGCGCTGGGCGCTGGGCAGCAGGGCGCACTGGCGCGCTGGGCAGCAGGGCGCGCTGGCGCCCTGGGCAGCGGGGCGCGCTGGCGCGCTGGGCAGCGGGGCTCGCTGGGCAGCGGGGCGCGCTGGCGCGCTGGGCAGCGGGGCGCATTGGCGCGCTGGGCAGCGGGGCACGCTGGCGCGTTGGGCAGCGGGGCGCGCTGGCGCGTTGGGCAGCGGGGCGCGCTGGGCAGCGGGGCGCGCTGGCGCGCTGGGCAGCGGGGCGCGCTGGCGTGCTGGGCAGCAGGGCGCGCTGGCGCTGTGGGAAGAAGGGCGCGCTGGCGCGCGGGAAGTGCACGGGCAGCGTGCGGGCAGCAGGCGGGCGGCGCGAGCAGCAGGCGGGCAGCGCGAGCAGCAGGCGGGCGGGCGCACTAGGTAGCGCTGTTGCGCGGGGCAGGGCAGCAGCGCGACGGCGTGCTGGGCAGGGCAGAAACGACGGGCCGGGCAGGTAAAAAAAAGTTACTGCCGGGCAGAGCGGAACGAATACCCGGCCCTAAAAATTCGGTCCTAACCGGGACCTACTCTGAAACCATGTCAAGAAGGAATGTTGCATTGAGTAGGGTTGTGAGTACAAGTAGGAAACCCTAAGGGGTGTTAGAACTTAGAACGAGAGGAATGATTGAATTGAGTTGAGATGAGATACAAGTGCTAAACCTAATTGGGGTTGTACCCTTTATGGTGTACCCCAGGATAGCCTAGCAAGCACAAGTATGATTTGACACACCCCCATAGGCTAAGTGGGGGACAACCAGATGGTCACAAGACCAGTCAAGCAAGAGAACAAAGCAAATCAAAGCTCAGGGTGGATCTCAAGGACACCACACATTCTGAGCACAAGCAAGCGGCCACAAGGCCAGTTCTCGTGCAGAGTTCTAATAGCAAGGCAGTACACTGATCACAACCTAGCAAGAGTAAACAAGCAGGTATAAAGATATATATCAGTGTACAACAAGTACAAGTCAAGCAACCAGCAGGTGAGGCAGAGTGGGCACAAGCCCAAGAGCAGTGCAGAAACGCTGATGATCACCAGACCCAAGGGCCTTGGTCAACACATCAGCAGTGTTGGCCCGCGAGGCCACGTAGGAAAGGCGGGGCTGACGACGCTGCTGCAGCTCACGCGCAAGGAAGTAGCGAAGAGCAATGTGCTTCGTTCTGTGCTCCAGTCTCTGCTCGCGACACAATGCAAGCATTCCCTTGTTGTCGACGTACGTAACTGGAGGAGAACGAGGCCGCTCACCCAAGTCGGTCAGCAGGTAGGTCAGCCAGCTTAGCTACTGTGCAGCTATGGCCACAGTGTAGATCTCGGCCTCACAGCTGGAACCAAGCACAAAAGAAGAACGAGTGGACCTCCACGAGACAGAACCAGAGCCAAGACTGAAGGTGTAACCCTGTGACAAATGCTGAGTCGCCTGGTCGTCGGCCCAAGAAGCGTCAGAGTGTCCTGTGAGTACCACTGAACCCCGTCCTCCAAGTACGAGCCCCATGCCCGATGTACTGCACAAGTAACGCAGTACCCTCTTCGCAGCATCAAAGTGCACCTTTCGGTGTCTACCGAGAGCCAGGAGGCTGAGACGGTACGCGAGGTCAGGTCGTATGCACGTCATCAGGTACATGAGGCAACCCACAAGCTCTGGATACGGACCACTCGGCTCTACGGACTCGTCCGAAGGTGGAGCTGAGAGCGAGTGGCCAGTAGGCAGAGGAGTGGGCTATGGCGAGGAGTACTGGAAGCCGAAGCGCTGAAGGACCTGGTGCACCATGTGTGATTGAGTCAGGGTGATGGTGCGCCGTGCTCTGTCCCGGGTGATCTGCAAGCCAAGATAGCTCCGCAGCTCACCCAGGTCAGTGCAGGTGTGTCTCTCCTGCAGTTCCGCCTTCACTAGGGCCAACGCCTCCGTGTCAGCAGTAGCAAAAACCAAGTCGTCGACGTACACGAGAACGTAGAACGGCGGCAGGGTAGTGTCAGTGCGTAGAAACAGCGACGGGTCAGAAGTCGAAGGAGCAAACCCAAGAGCCGCAAGTGTCGTCCTCAGTGTGTCGTGCCACTCGCGAGGTGCCTGACGCAGGCCGTATACTGGCCGCCGTAGGCTCCACTGGGTACCCTCAGGAAACGACCCAGTGAAGCCAAGTGGACGGCGCAGCCAGATGGCCTCGTGAA